CGGTGCAGCGCTCTAACCAACTGAGCTACAGAGGCCAGCTGTTGAGCTTTAACCGTAAGTTCATGTATATTTAGGTAATTAATCGGGTGTGCGGGTTGTGATAAGGTAGACTTCAATAATTTGGATTCTTGCACTTCACTTGTTGGAATTAATATTAGAATGTTAGGGTTTGTAATCCAAGTGAGAATATATACATTTTAAGACCTAACCAGGAACGACTGCGAAAAATGCAGCACAAGGTCCTCTGGTAGGAATTGAACCTACGGCCCTGCGATTCCGGTGCAGCGCTCTAACCAACTGAGCTACAGAGGCCAGCTGTTGAGCATTAACCGTAAGTTCATGTATATTTAGGTTATCGGGTGTGCGGGTTGTGATAAGGTGGACTTCAATAATTTGGATTCTTGCACTTCACTTGTTGGAATTAATATTAGAATGTTAGGGTTTGTAATCCAAGTGAGAATATATACATTTTAAGACCTAACCAGAAACGACTGCGAAAAATGCAGCACAAGGTCCTCTGGTAGGAATTGAACCTACGGCCCTGCAATTCCGGTGCAGCGCTCTAACCAACTGAGCTACAAAGGCCAGCTGTTGAGCTTTAACCGTAAGTTGATGTATATTTAGGTAATCGGGTGTGCGGGTTATGATAAGGTAGACTTCAATAATTTGGATTCTTGCACTTCACTTGGTGGACTTAATATTAGAATGTTAGGGTTTGTAATCCAAGTGAGAATATATACATTTTAAGAGCTAACCAGGAACAACTGCGAAAAATGCAGCACAAGGTCCTCTGGTAGGAATTGAACCTACGGCCCTGCGATTCCGGTGCAGCGCTCTAACCAACTGAGCTACAGAGGCCAGCTGTTGAGCTTTAACCGTAAGTTCATGTATATTTAGGTAATCGGGTGTGCGGGTTATGATAAGGTAGGCTTCAATAATTTGGATTCTTGCACTTCACTTGGTGGACTTAGTATTAGAATGTTAGGGTTTGTAATCCAAGTGACAATATATACATTTTAAGACCTAACCAGAAACGACTGCGAAAAATGCAGCACAAGGTCCTCTGGTAGGAATTGAACCTACGGCCCTGCAATTCCGGTGCAGCGCTCTAACCAACTGAGCTACAGAGGCCAGCTGTTGAGCTTTAACCGTAAGTTCATGTATATTTAGGTAATCGGGTGTGCGGGTTGTGATAAGCTGCACTTCAATAATTTGGATTCTTGTATAACTTCACTTGTTGGAATTAATATTAGAATGTTAGGGTTTGTAATCCAAGTGAGAATATATACATTTTAAGACCTAACCAGGAACGACTGCGAAAAATGCAGCACAAGGTCCTCTGGTAGGAATTGAACCTACGGCCCTGTGATTCCGGTGCAGCGCTCTAACCAACTGAGCTACAGAGGCCAGCTGTTGAGCTTTAACCGTAAGTTCATGTATATTTAGGTAATCGGGTGTGCGGGTTTTGATAAGGTGGACTTCAATCATTTGGATTCTTGCACTTCACTTGTTGGAATTAATATTAGAATAGTAGGGTTTGTAATCCAAGTGAGAATATATACATTTTAAGACCTAACCAGGAACGACTGCGAAAAATGCAGCACAAGGTCCTCTGGTAGGAATTGAACCTACGGCCCTGCGATTCCGGTGCAGCGCTCTAACCAACTGAGCTACAGAGGCCAGCTGTTGAGCTGTAACCGTAAGTTCATGTATATTTAGGTAATCGGGTGTGTGGGTTGTGATAAGATGGACTTCAATAATTTGGATTCTTGCACTTCACTTGGTGGAATTAAAATTGGAATGTTAGGGTTTGTAATCCAAGTGAGAATATATACATTTGTATATTCTCACTTGGATTGCAAAATATTTTCACTTGGATTACAAAATATATATATGTATATATTCTCACTTGGATTACAAACCCTAACATTCTAATATTAATTCCAGAAGTGAAGTGCAAGAATCCAAACTATTAATTTCAAATGCCCCGCCGGGGCTAAGGTTTGAGTGGAAATGCCCAACCCCTGGGATGTGCTTTACAGGAAAATGGCTGGGCGAGGGGGATGGACACACTTGGATTTGGCTGATACATTAAATGTCCTGTGCTTATTCCAGACTGCAATAAACAGAAATGTATTTTATTTCATGGTATTACAATTTTATTTTTATACTATAAAAATAAAATATAAACATGCAGCATAGAATATGCAAATTCGAGGCAAAATTATTGTTGAATCGGTTTATTTATAGGATTTTATAACAAATAGCAACTATAAAAGTTTGTACCTTGTCTTCACGGATCGCTTTATTCTGTTAGCCAATGCTTTTAAATTTACATATTTTAGAATCAGTTCCTTTCCCGGTAACTGCATTTCTAAATGAAATCAGATCAACGTGAGTAGTGAGTGCTGAGCAGGCCGTTTTACTATGAACAAATTTTAGGAATTGATAACAACTTTGAAAATTATATCGTTGCACATTCGGTCACAGTCGGAAAAATGTTCATAGTATGTTGTACCGTCGCTTGCAACTAACGATGAACAGTCGCTCATAAAAACATTTGCGTGATTAGAATCTACAATGTTTGTCAAGAACAACAACACTTAATTGTTGTTTCCCATGTGTACAATAATAAGTAAAAAAAACTTTGTGTGGTCTGAACGTGTTGGGCTAGAGACCTACTGGAAACCTTTACAGGCTTTTTAATGAGAATAGAGAAATTAAGAGAATGTTTTATCTGCAACTGTTCACCTTTAGTTGCAACCGACGGTATTTGACAGCATAAAATTGCCTGTGGCTGTGATATAAACTGATATAAATAAAATACAGTCTGGTTATACTGACTTGAGCGTGTCTTGACAAACTCTTTATTGGAAAATTGTGAAGAAACAGTCGAATATAGAGGGTCGAATATCATACTTCAACTTGTATAGCTACAGTATTAACATTAGTAGATTACTACATAGCGTTGTGAAGACAAGCCTTTTCTTACCTTTCGCTTCAGCAGTCTTTTCCATGCTTCTCTACGCTTTCCCAGGCGAGCTTCTCTTTCCTCAGCAGTCTCCTCGAGCAAACGTTGTCGTCTTCGCTCCCTCCTTTTCGCTAGACGTTCGGCTTTCTTGTCGTTTCCTTGCCGCTCTTCATTTGGCTCCATATCTTTTCAATTGGTATTTGATACCGTAATTGTTTTATTAAACTTTTTATAGAACAAATTGCTTTGAAAGCTGTCAAAGTTTTTTGCAAACGTACAAAATACTGTAGTGTAAAAAGCAAATTATTTTCATGAAGTATCTGTCAGTTGAAGTCGTCATTTGTCATACAACAACAAATTTTAAATTTGACCAATCAGTGTTCGCTATCCATGACAGTCCGCCATATTTTTGAGATCAGTGAGGATGACCACCCACTCAAGGTTCGTTGGTCACGCCCGCGATATTTGAGGAACTTTAGACTTGGCTAATGCTTTCGTTTCCCCGGGTGTAAATAGCCGGGGGGAATTAGTACCCTCGCACGGCGCTTCGCGCCGCCGGCACAGAATACTACACAGAAGTCCATCTCCATTGTTTTTTGCGTAAGCGTTATTCGTCATGATTCGTCACTCAGCAAGTACCGTAAACAGAAGCAGTCACCCCCCTGGACGTTCGCCATTTTTGGTATTTCCAGGGGGGAGACTGCTTCTGTTTACGGTACTTGCTGAGTGACGAATCATGACGAATAGAGCTTACGCTAAAAACAACGGAGATGGCCTTCTGTGTAGTATTCTGTGCCGCCGGCTCGGGGACAATAACTGGATGATATTTGCGTGATTCGGCGATAAAAAGCAAACAAGACAGCAAAATATGGCTGAAATCGCGTTTTCGTGGGGGGTAAGTGAAATAAAATGTATTATATTTAAAGAAAACAATGACAATCCTTATGAAATCAACAATATTTACATTAAATTAAGCATAGTTTTTAACCCCATGATAATTTTTTTTAGGAAATAAGAATATTTAATTTCTGCCAGGCATATTAGTTATTTTATGCATAATCAGCAATTTACCTGGGGTGGTGCATGGTCATTTTCTTGTAAAATATTATACTTGGACAAATTTTTCTTCCAATGAATACCCCTAAAAGAAACCCTTCCAAACACTATAAGCACTTCAGAAAGACTATCGCTTTTTGTTTTCTGAAGTTAGAGCTATGTCGACACTGCCGTTTCAGGGCGGGGTCATTTTCAGGACTTTCGTCCCGGATTCAGCTTTTGGCACATATGCCATGTTGACCGCCATGGTCATTTTACCCTAAAACAGTTGAGATTACCTGTGCTAAATGAAACGCATACAAACTCATATACAGGTCCTAGACTAATAGTCATTGAAAAAAAAAGAAAAAAAATTATTATTATTATTATTATTATTATTACTGGCATTGAGCAGAGCATTGACGTGCTCTGTACGTGTCTGCAGTTTTATCAAAATTTTATTACTTGAATCACAAATTATTTCACAAATAACCATCAGTAAATATTGTAATCATGATTCGCTCAAGTTCTATATTAATGTTGTTGACCTGCGTCGTTTGTTCGTTCTGTAAGAAAGATTTCGTTACACTCGGTCGACATTCATGGCGATGTAAACAGCGAGTTAATTACGCAGAACAAGATCACTCTGCCGAAAATACGGCAAGGCAAACGCCCGTCATGAATTCTCCTAATGTCGTCGTGTCAAGTCGAACCGTAATCAAGTGTTGCTGTGGTAAAGTATGTAAAGGAGCGCGAGGAGATGCATCAACGCAGTTGTAGAGTTATTCAAGGTCTAGACAGTGAATTCCGTACAGACCTAGAGGAACAAAACAATTCTGACACGGAAAATATTCCTGAAATGGACCAATCGACAATCAACGAAACTCCTACGGTTGAATAGGAAGATATTGCGAATTTAAGAAAAGGTATTAAACTCCCTAAAAGCAATTCCGAATGGTCAACGGCCAACGAACATTTCAAATTCGCTCTTCAGTCCAATGATCCAATCACATCACAAGATTTAAATTCCAACATAAAACTATTAAATAACATCATATACGATTACTTCGCCCAAAACTTTGGTTATAGCGAATCAGTGCCTGACAATTCGCTACTAAATAAATATAAGGACTATGAAATCAAGGATTTGAAAAAAGCTCTGAAAACCCTTAAATCAACGAATGGTGAACTAGACGAAATTAAATATGTGTCGCATATATTGCGTGATAAGCTTCGCTCAAACAATAACAATGAGTCAAGTCTAGACAGCAGCCAGTCACTTAACCATGACAAATATATCGGGAAAAATTTCTGGGGTTATGTCAAGAATATTCTAAGGAAGAAAGACACTATATTACGATCTTTCAACATGACGTAATGCCTATCCCACTTCACTAAGACCCTTGCTGCAATTCATCCAAACAAATTGTTCAATATTCCTAGCTGGATTCCTGCGTTGTCTGACCCCGAAGTTCAATTTGACCTTGACCCCCCATCGTATCAACAAGTCACGAATATAATACGCAGAACGAAGGCATCTGGCTCTCCATGTCCCCTTGATCAGCTATCTATTATACGCTGTCCTTTCCTAAGAACATATTTAACTGACCTTATCCGTGCCTTGTGGCTATCTGGAACCATCCCTTCAGAATGGAAGAAAGCTTGCACAATACTAATCCATAAACTAGGTTACCCACAGGGCAGTAATGCTGCCTTTGACAGCAAAAGACAAACTACCGGGTGTTGAACGAGTCCTTCAGAAACATCCTATTATGTTTAGCCTGCATGGCAGGCGGTTCCTAAAATTGGGCAAGCCTGGGAAATACCGCCTGCCATACGGGCTAATTATTGTTATCCTTGTTAACCCATTTATTGACAGTACCCTACCACTGACTGAGTATTAAAAATCGTCTGGCGTTGGACAGGGTAAATACTAAAGTAGGGGTCATTACTGTGCTGATGAATTAACAAGAGGTTTGTTAACCCATTTACTGGCAGTACCCTATACAACTGACGAGTAAAATCTTCTGGCGCTCGACAAGGGAAGGGCGCATTGCCAGCTAATGGGTTAAACCACCGTGCTAATGGGTTAAACCAGCTAATGGGTTAAACCACCATAAGATTTCATGATGCTCCAGGAAATGTAAACAAGCTATCAGTGTGACATACACTGGTATATACAAAATTCTTTTATGTCGGTATATACAAAATTATTTTAAAGTATAACAACCAGCGAAGACGTAAGACACTAACTACCCTGCGCGGCTGCGCGCAGACTATATAACGACATATATATGTCATCCGTCCGGTCCGTCCGTCATTCATCCGTCCGTCCATATCCGCGTTTTATCCTAACCCGTTTTTAAAACACAAAGTTTGCATTTAATTAAGGCAGTGCGGTTCTTCATGATCAATATTTTCAAAAGCGGCCAATTAGACCAGGGGTTAAAGGGCAAAGACAATGACATGCAGGTGACATTTAACATTGCGTCTCACTAATTAAAATTTGCGTGTTTAATAGTGTTTATCAAAGCACAGTTAATTCCTATTCCTATTTCGGTGATCAAAGAAAGCAAAAATATATACAAGACAATCTCACATGTGGAGTTTTTTCACTTACAGTACGTACTGCCTTGTGATGCAGTACAAGTATAAATACAAATGACAAAGCATTTGTAAATCCTAAGGGACGGACCATTAGAAAAGTGATGGGGGGGGGGGCAAAACCAAAAAAAAAAATTATTCACAGAAAAAAATTAAGAAAAAAAAAATCTTTCCAGGCATAGTGCAAAAAAAATATTCCTTGCTTAGAAGATAGGCCAAGTGGTGTACTGGAGGGAGGGCTCAGGGGGGCTGAGCCCCCTTGTTGAAATTTCATGTTGACTTGGGGGCTGCACGTTGGTCAAATTTAGCAAAATTTCTCCCACTCGTGCGGGTTCGTATTGACAGCGGACATCTTACAGAAAGTGGCCAGTTCTCTGAAAAATGCAAAAGTTTCAATTTTACACCGCAAGTTCACTGACAATATGAGCGTGCGGTCCTGGGAGAAAATTTGCTGAATATGACCAGCTTGCTGAGCCCTCCTTTATTTTGGCATGTTGCATAATCTTTAATAACAACGTCAAAAACACACACAAAAAATATCAGTAAACAAGAATGTTCTTTAGAATTGCATCTCGTTTTCACTCATCATTTTTAAAACACAATAATGATTTTTGTAATCTTTATATCGCCATTTTTGTAATCTTTATATCATTTAGTACCACTAAATTGTAAATTTCGACATACTAAAACGCTGTTTTCTGACCATCAGAATTCTGTCAAATCTTCCCCCAAAGTCCAGGAAATGGCATTTCAGGGACTCTAAATTTAAAAATTTCCTCGGGCCTTCGGCCCTCGCTTCGGCTTGTTTTTAATAAGAATAACGTCAAATATTTGTCCCAGAATTACTAGAATAAACCCCAACAAAATTTAGAATTTCCAAAATATCTTATTGTACCTCCCCTCCCCTCCCGCCAATTCAGGACACTTTGGAGAGCCCCCCCCCCCTTGTTAACATTCCAGGACTACACCACTAATAGGCCTATAAATTTCACTTAAAGCTTAAGGGCCCTACTGTCATTTTTTAGTCGAAAGCCACCTTAAGTAGGGGACTCCACGGAGATTCGTTTGGCTGTATCTTACCGCAGTATCCATGAGTACGAGTACTTTTGCACACCAGAAAACGCATGCATACTGTGGTGCGCATGTCAAGTAGCGACAATAACAAAAAATGTAAACAATACTTACTTGACTAAAAAATTACTGTAGGGCCCCTTTAAAAAAAAAATATTTCCAACCATCAAGTGAGAAAAAAAATATATTTCTTCTATAGGTGTACAAAAAAAAATATTGCCTCTTAGAAAATCCCCCCCCCCCCATCACTTTTCCTAATGGTCCGTCCCTAATTACATTAATTTGCACCAAATTACTTACACAATTACGCACAATGTATACAGCGTTACATTGTGCGTTGATAGACCGAATCTGATCAGTTAAGTGTACTTGCATGGTATGTTTATGTAAATACCACAACTGGGTCACTCAGGGGGTAGAAAGCTTGTTAAACTTAGTGGGCCCGACTCCCACGATCGCGAGGCGCTACCATGGTTGGCGCCGAGCAGGGAAATTTTGAAAATTTTGAGTCTCTAGATCGTTGGAAATAGCATTTTCAGAGTCTTCTTTTTTGCTATTTGTGATTATAGAAAACAGAACTCTAGACATGGTATTTAAGTTCAAAAACTTTTATGACCCCCCCTTTCTCTGTGTTAAAAGTTTTTTGACCCCCCCCCTATTTATAAGGGTAAAACTTCGTTTGCCCC